CTTAGCTTTTCCCAGAGTGAGGGGAAAGGGACAGAGAGAGAGAGAGAGAGAGAGAGAGAGAGAGAGGCTGACTCCAAGACTACAGCTACAGTTTTGTGACCTAATCTCAGAACTGACAAACCATCACTCTGCCATGTTCTCTTGGTCACACGCCCAACCCCCGCACAGCGTTAGAGGAGGCTACACAGCGTGCACATACGAGAGGGTGGGGATGGTGGAGGCCCACCATCCTGTCCTGGAACTTACCACACTGGGTGGGATTGTTGTCTGTCGCCCCCACCTTCCTGGGTCAGAATGTTGTTGAGCTTTGTCTCCCTGCTGTGAGCACTGTGCTTGGTGCAGGAGTATTTAGTCATTGATTGTTGAGCGAATAGATACATGAATGAATGCGTTCCCTAATCATCTGATCAGGATTTTTTAAATTTGAATTTAAATTTATTTTCCATTATAAAAATAATATGTGCATATTATTTTATTTATTTATTTACTTATTTATTTATTTTATCCTCACCTGAGGACATTTTTCCATTTTTGTTCAGATAGAGTGGGAGGGAGGGGGAGAGAGAGAGAAAGAAAGAGAAACATCGACGTGAGAGGGACACATCGACTGGTTGCCTCCTGCACGATCCCAACCAGGGCTGGGACAAACCACAGCCAAGATACGTGCCCTTGACCAGAATCAAACCCTCGACTCATTGGTCTGCAGGCCGACGTTCTAACCACTGAGCCAAACTGGCCAGGGCTGTGCATATTATTTAAAAAACCTAGAAACATCCCTGGCCAGTTTGGCTCAGTGGTTAGAACATTGACCCACGGACTGAAGAGTCTCGGGTTCAGTTCTGGTCAAGGGCACGTACCTCAGTTGCAGTTCGATCTCTGGCCCTGGTTGGCCCTGGTTGGGGTTGTGTGGGACGCAATCAGTTGATGTTTCTCTCTCACATCTGTGTTTTTTTCTCTCTCTCTCAAATCAATAAATCTTCAGGGTGTACACTGAAAAGTAAGTTCCTACCTTAACTCCCCGCAGCCAGTCGTAGTGCCCAGAGCTGATGACTTCCAACATTTCTGGGGTATCCTTCCAGAAATTTTCTAAAATGACAGGAGAGTTATTTTCAGGTGTCATAAGTAGTAATGTAAGTGAAAGTGCTTTGCTCATGTCAGAGACCATGGCTGCTCTATTCTGGTGGCTCAGTCTGCTGGGTCTGGCCCTGGGGATCCCGGGGGCCTCTGCTCCCCTCTGCTGGAGCTGGACGCCCTCCACTGCCGCCGCACGGTGTCGGTACACAGCAGAATGTTTAGCTTTTTTTTTAGTTATAAATCATGATCCTCTAAGTGTCTCAATACATAAAACCTTTTTCCATATTCTAGATTATTTACTTAGCAGAGATTCCCATAAGTGGAATTATTGGATCAAAGAATGTGAATATTATTACGAGGATCACCAGCTGCTTTGAGTTTTCTGCCTACATAGTAAATCCCTTTTCATCAACCTTTCTCCTCAGACCTCTCTCCTTTGCCAGAAGTCAGGGCTCTTAGCCGCTCCTAACACACACCACTGGCAAGTTGGAACAGCAGGGGTTTCACGAGAAGAATAAATACTAGGGAACTCGGGAATATGGGGAGGGCCAGAGAACCTGGCTGGGCTGCTATAGCCAGGGATGCTGCAAAACCAGAAAAAAATGCCCAACAGCGCCACCAGGTGTTTCCAGTGGGAACCACAGCTGACACTGTTTGCTACTTTGCCTGATAACCCTGAACCTGTTCTTCCACCGCATCCTTGCCGCAGATTCCTGTTTCCCATGTTTGGTTGCTGCCAAACAGGCCTCAACGTTCCACGCATGCGACTGGCAGCAACTTGGTCACCTACCAGTCCTGTTTGTGCTAGGGATTCTGGGAAATGCAGCATGTGGTCCAGGAAAGGACGGTATCTCCTTATTGGCTTGTTCTGCTCAACGTACACTTTTCTCCTAACACGTCCAGCCTCCTTTCCCTGGTGATTTAATTTGCTAGGGCTGCCATGACAAAATACCACAGACGGGACAGCTTAGCTGAGAGAGCTCCTTTCTCCCAGTCTGGAGGCAGGAGTCCAAGATCGCGGTGTCGCCGGGCTGGTTTCTCCCGAGGCCCCTCTCCTCGGCTGGCATGTGGCGTGTGTTCACATGGAATTTCCTCTGTGCCGTGTTTCCCTGATGTCTTCCTGTCTGTCCAAATTTCCTCTTGCTATGAGGACCCAAAACAGATTAGCTTAGGGCCCACCCAATGCATTATTTTAACCTAATCACCTCTTTTTATTTATGTATTATTTATTTATTTATTTATCCTCACCTGAGGACATTTCTCGAGGACATTTTTGCATTCATCTTCAGATAGAGTGGGAGGGACAGAGGAGGGAAGAGAGAAAGAGAAACATCGATGTGAGAGAGACACATCAAGTGGCTGCCACCCCCATGACCCCAACTGGGGCCGGGGACAGACTGCAACCAACGAACCCAGGACTCTCTGGTCTGCAGGCCAATGCTCTGACTGCTGAGCCAAACCCGCCAGGGCAACCTAATCACCTCTTTAAAGGCCTTATCTCCAAATAGTCACATTCTGAGGTAGTGGGGTTAGGGTTTCAACATATTAATGGGGGGGGGGGCATAATTCAGCCCATAACACCTGTGTTTTAAGATTTAAGATGATTCCGCCCTCTCCCCTTCTCTGCCTCACACCAGCGCCCATCCCATCACCTTAGATTGCACACCCCCTCCCTGCACCAGCCATAATCTGTGTGCCAGCCATTTATTGCCAACACTGCTCCAGGAGCCCCCCCCCATAGGGGGTCATTGGGAAAGGCCCGTGGACAGCAGCAGAGAACCCCAGTTGCTGAGGAGTCAGAGCCAAATCTTTTTTGTTCCTCTAAACATGTCTGCACGTGTCAAGAAAGCTGTCAGTCACATTACATGTCACCTAAGAACGGGACAGAGTGAAGGAGCAGAAGTGTCAAGTTCAACGTGACTACCTAAGTGCTCTCAGGTGCACGGCTTGATTGCCACTTAGACAGACTGATGAACTCTTGTCAGAGTAACTTTGTTAAAAGTTTGATTTGGGCCTGGCCAGTGTGGCTCACTGGTTGAGCGTCGACCCACGCACCAAGAGGTCACTTGTTCGATTCCCGGTCAGGGCACATGTCCAGGTTGTGGGCCCGATCCCCAGTGTTGGGGTGGGGGGCATGCAGGAGACAGCCAGTCTTTCTCTCTCATCGATGTTTCCATCTCTCTCTCCCTAAACAATAAAGAAAAAAAATTTTAAAAACAACAACTTTGATTTGGTTGCCACAGTAAGTTCTGTTTGGGCGCAGGCCATACTTACGGGGTCAACTCCTTTTTACAACGTTTGGCTCCCTAGCAGCACTGAATACCTCTGAGCACGGACTAGAGTCACAACACCACAAGAGTGAGAACAGAAGGGGCCTTTGGAATGAGTAGATGCTGGGTAAGGAAGCGAGCAAGTCAGGGAAATGGTCTCTGATTCAGGTACAGTGCATCTCTCGGTGAGAATCCAGCCTGTACTGGGCTCTGTTCAGGAGAACGTGTTAGGAGAGTTGCTTTCATGAGTGTGTTCTAAGTCCATTCCTTTCCGACCCTCAGCAGACATCCCCCTTTGGTCTGTGCTAGACACAGGATCTCTGCCTTCACCTGACTGTCCAGTCCACTGGCCCTGTGGCCCACCTGAGAGCCCCCCAAACCACCCTGCCTTTAGGCCACACCAAGCTAGGCACGGCTGTTGGTGTCCTTAGCACTGGTACCCCATGTGTGGCTTCAACTTTACAAACTGCCCACATCCTTTGACTAGTAATATTCTTTCTAAGAATATATCGTAAGGAAGAAAATCAGAGATGCAGATCAAAGTTTATGTGCAAGGATATTCATTGTAGAATTGTTTATAATAGTGAAAACAATTAAAAAAAAACAAAAAACAAAAAACCTCCGTTACAAACAGAGGAGATCGACAAATAATTGATGCATCCACCTAGTGGTCATTTAAAAATATGTTTTAAAGAAATTTAATAGCGTGAGATACTCAGTAAAGCTCAACAAAACAAAAACTAGAAAATAAAAGTATATGTAATATGGTACTGATTAAAAAAACAACAACAACTAGAAAGTAAATACTAAAAGGAAAAAACTGGAAGGAAATACAGAATGTGAGCAATGACTGCAATAGGAATTTTTCTTCTGTATTACATTGCAGTGCCTTTCAAGGCTTATAATCAGAAAAAAGGCCACATAGAAATGAGCAGGCCAGTGACAAAGGTCTTTGTTACATACTCAAAGGAGATGACAGAGATATCCAGACAAAGATAATGCTTTCTTCATGAAAATAAAAATAAAATATATTCTGAACTGGATCCTTTGGCCATTAAAGACATTATCAGGGTTGCCTGGCTGGTGTGGCTCAGTGGTTGAGCGTTGGCCCTTGCACCAAGAGGTGGTTGGTTCGATTCCCAGTCAGGGCACATGCCCAGGTTGTGGGACTGATCCCCAGTGGGGGGCATGCAAAAGGCGACCAATCAATGTTCTCTCTCATTGATGGATGTTTCTATCTCTCTCTCTAAAAATTAATAAAGAATAAAAAAGACAGTTATACCGAGTTTGTGGACTAGCTAAAAACAACATACTAATCTAAATTTAGATGTTGATGGTTGTATTGTGGTTATTTTGGAAGCATCTTTTTATTTTATTTTTTGTAGGAAATTCAAAATAAAATATTCAGACGTGATGGTGCATCATGTTAAAAATTATTCTTAAATGGTTCTGTAAAAAAAGGTTCTTCATCTTTTCTCTGAACTGAAATTATTTCAAAATAAAACAATTATTAAGCTTTAAAAAATTACAATGCCACCTCCCTTGGAGAGTCAGTTCTGTGGCACAGACTGGCTACCTGTGCCGCGGGACACCTCTCTCTGAACACAGCGCTGTCGCTCAGCCACCTCACCACGGGGCTCTGTGGTCTGTCCTCAGGGGCACATCGTCCACAACTGGAAGGTGCGCTGGTTCGTCCTTCGGCAGAACACGCTGCTGTACTACAAGCTCGAGGGGGGCCGGAAGGTGACCCCTCCCAAGGGCCAGATCCTTCTGGATGGCTGCAGCATCACCTGCCCCTGCCTGGAGTATGAAAACCGACCCGTAAGTGAAGGCCCCGGCTTCCCAGCCCCTCCCTGCCCTGCACCCTTCTGTGTCTGGCCTCTTTGGTGAAGGTGGTGTGGGTAATGGGAAGAGCTGAATTATCACTGAAAAACCTAGTTCACATCCTGGCTGCACCAGGTACTGGGTATGTGCCCCTCGGCAAGTAACGAACCTCTCTGAGCCTTTGCTCCTCATCTATAAAGCAAGATAGAAAATGATACCTGACTCTCTCCCATGACTGTGATAGGGGGCTTGTAGGCTAGGAGGCACTGGACAGCGTGAGTAATTACTATAATCTTGGGGTTCAGCATGATGGCCTTTGTCCCCAAGGGGTGCATGTTCCAAAGTCACGGGCAGCTTCCACCCTACCATCAAAAAAGTATCTGACGCAATCATTTATCGAAGGCCCAGTGTGTGCCAAGACATTTGCTAGGCTTGGCGGAGTCGAGGAAGAAAATGGTAAGATCGCTTCTTCTTCATTAATAATCTTACTGGGAAAGCAAGCGGTTAACAACGCATCCGGAGTGTCCAATGTTGGTTCAAACATCACTCGCGGTAGAGAGCACTGAAGCGGGGGAAGCCGGCGGGTCGGGTGCGGCTTCTGGAGGAACGGAGATCGGGGCACAGAGCTAGGAGAGAGGCAGCCGGTCCAGGCAGGTGGACCGTCGTGAGTCCAGGCAGGGGCGAGAGGCGGCCAGGCGTGGGGACGAGGCTGGCCCGTGGGCCGAAGGAGGATGTTCACGGAGGGAGCAGGGGAGAACGGCGGGCCAGATGGGGGCATGGACTGATGAAGACTCTTAGGAAGACTAAAATGAGGGATGGAGCGCTGTTCCCGATGGGACTGCAGGATCCATGGAGAAGGTGCTGCCTCTGAGTGCTGGCGCCTGGCTGTCTCTTCCCGCAGCTCCTCATTAAGCTGAAGACCCGCACGTCCACGGAGTATTTCCTGGAGGCCTGTTCTCGAGAGGACAGGGACGCCTGGGCCTTTGAGATCACAGGGGCTATTCACGCCGGGCAGCCGGGGAAGGTCCAGCAACTCCACGTCCTGAGAAATTCCTTCAAGCTGCCTCCCCACATCAGCCTGCAGTGAGTGTCCACCCGGGGGCTCCCTCGCGGGCTCTGCGGCAGCCCCCTCTGTGGGTGCGCAGCCGCCAGGGCCTCTGCTGTCTCGTGTCTGTCAGTGTGATGAGGGTCCCCTCCCTTTTGCCTTCCTCCCGTGTAGTCGAATCGTGGAGAAGATGCATGACAGCGGCAGTGGAATCCGGCCAAGCCCCAACATGGAGCAGGGAAGCACCTACAAAAAGACCTTCATTGGTGAGCCTGCCTCTCGGAGTGGGGTGGAAACCTGGGCATAGTGGTCTGGGCCTTAGCTGGGCTTGGCCAGCTTGTGTTGAGGCCAGAGCTGCCTGCTCACAGCAGGCTGGCCTGAGATGGCCCCAGGTGGGTGTGGCCCCAGGTGGGTGTGGCCACGATTCCCTGTAGCAGGTGTGGCCTTTGGTCTGCTCTCGGGTAGAGCCCCAAGGCTGCCCAGGAAGTCGAGGTCAATGAGGTCGCAGCCAGGCAGCCCCGAGGAGGCTGGTCTGTAGCCTGTCGTCTGACTGGTGCTCCCTTGCCCTGCTGCAGGCTCCTCCCTGGTGGACTGGCTCATCTCCAACGGCTTTGCCGCCAATCGTCTGGAGGCCGTGACCCTGGCCTCCATGCTCTTGGAGGAGAACTTCCTTAGGCCAGTAGGCGCCCGAAGCACGGGAGCCATTCGCTCTGGGGATCTGGCCGAGCAGTTCCTGGATGACTCCACAGCCCTGTACACTTTCGTAAGTTCTGGAGAGGGTTCTAGCCACCAGGGCAGAGGGAAGGAAGAGGCCACAGAGTGGAGGCCAGGGGGTCCACAGTCAAGGGTGAGGGCCTAGGGTTTGGGGGACAGCTTCAGCCCCAGGTGGAGGGGGTTTCTCTATGGAGGATGTTCCCGTTTTCTGTGGTCGCCCCGTTGCCTCTAAGAGGGACTCTCTGTGACAGAATCCTTGTTCTCTTCTTCCCGCTAGGCTGAGAGCTACAAGAAGAAGCTAAGTCCCAAGGAAGAAATCAGTCTGAGCACCATGGAGTTAAGTGGCACGGTGATAAAACAAGGCTATCTGGCCAAGCAGGTATGGCTGCCTTGGAGCAGCGAGGAGGTGGAGGTTCTCAGACTCAGGGGAGGCAGGGATCCCCGAAGGGTGGGAAGGGCGGAGACTGCGGAGGGCACTGATTATCAGCAGAATCAGCCACAGGGAGCAAGTCAGGGGTACACTGGCTGCCCCGCCCCCCCACATGCATGTGCACACACATGCACACTCACTCACACACACATCCCTACTCTCACACACACACACACGCACACACACATGTGAGTCCCAGACACGAATGCTCAGGGAAAAGGTACATCCAAGTAATTATCACAGCATTAAAAAATGCCTGCGTCACCGCCCAGTGCACATTTGTCTGGAAGGACGTTGCCTCCGGGCTGGTGTTTCACTTGCTGCCTCTTGCTCTCAGGCTTTCTGGGGTCTCTGCCTGCTTCTGTGGGACCCTGAATGCCCCCGGATACACTTTCCCAACAACCCGCCTCAGTAGGGTGAAGATGAAATTTTACAGGGTAACCTCAGTGTTTAAAAACAGACCGTGGCCACCCCCCCCAGCATGTTGGGGAGAGCAGCCCTGTTCAGCGGGAAACAACCATGTCACGGTCACACCTGCGGCCTTTCTACCTGTGCCCGACAAAAAGGCTGTCCTTGAACAGAAATACCGTGTTCCAGCGCGGGAAGTGTCAGAGCACCTCTCACACACCGTGTGGACACGCCTGTCTGCACAATGGACACGTGCTGCTCAGCGCCATTCCTGTCTCTCGCACATCAGGGTCTCCATCTGCTCTCATTGCTTACGCCCATGAACCTGCCCGAGGGACTCTAGTGAGGACAGGGAGTGAGGCCCTGGAGACCACGAGGAGGGGTGACCCCAAAGAGAGTCATACACGCGTCGATGTCTCACACATTTAGATTTTAACACCTAATCGGTCATTTCTTACTTTTTCTGATGCAGAGTGCTAAACGGTTTTATCGTATATGTGTGCACAGTTGACACCTGCTGCCTCCCTGTCTTCCTGAGTGGTGTCTGGGTAATGCTCCCCCTTTTCCTTCAGCCCTGACACTCTTTGGCTCTGTCAACTCAACTAAAGGTGACTGTTTTTGCCAAGTGTCACTGAGCAGGGAAGTCCATGACACATCCCTGCTGGCCTTGGGGCTCCAGCAGGCTCTTCTTAGAAAGTGGGTCCATTGGAGCCAGCTGGCCTGGAGGTTTGGCATTCAATACAAGGAAGTGGGAGGAAGTGACTCAGAACTGTCACCCATGAGCCTTGAACCCCTTCTTGACCTCAGGGCCACAAGAGGAAAAACTGGAAGGTGCGGCGCTTTGTTCTGAGGAAGGAGCCGGCTTTCCTGCATTACTACGACCCTTCCAAAGTGAGTACTGCGTGCTCGTGAGGTACCCGTGTGAGGCTTCCAGATACTTATCTCCCAAGCATCGCAGGCAGCTGGCTCCACTTCCTTCCTTCCTCTCAGCATCCCTACTAAAAGTCTGAGCCGGCGGGAGATCACATCCACACACAAGGCCAGTGTAGAGAGCAAAATGGCTTTATTGCATGCACCTGGGTGCAGGCACGCTGCGCCAAAATAACTGTTGGGGTGTAGGTTATATACTCTACTTTTAGCTTCCTACTGACGTACTCTGCCTGGCCCATTGTCCACTTTGCAGTTGGATGTCTGGTATCTCATCCTGCATCTGCTGGGTTATCCATTGCCTTTCAGATAATCGGATAATCCGTAGTCCACAGAAGGTGGAGCAAAGGTCATACAAGCAACGCATTTTTCACAGTTTCCACCTTTTGCAAGTTTTTACCTTTACCCTTTAAAACGTTACAAACTCTGTCACCTACAACAGCTTCTGCCACATGGTGCCTTTCCTTCCACAGCCCAAGATACTTTATAAAAGTATGATCGCTGGTTTCTTTCATCACGTGATTGCCTGCTCCGTGGATCGTCATTATTTTGCAAGGAAAAGCATCTTTTGGTTTCTCCAAAGCTTGCTGTGTGGTTAGGGAGGGTGAGGTGGGCTGGTGCCCCCAGGCTTTTCACCCCTTTCTATCCACAGATCCCCTGAATTCTGCCCCTCAACCTCTTTTTCCCACCGATATTTGAAAAACTCTCTTTTACTATATAATATTCAAGCCATAATTTATTAATTTTCTTTTTTTCTGATTGAAGAATTGCTATTCTGAGTTTTAGATAATAAGTATGACTGCGTGCTGAGTTCATCTAATTCCAGCCAAAGGAAAGGGAAATGGCCTTTTAGTCGGCCTGCTCAACCTTGTCGTTGTATGACTTTCATTCATTTTTCTAAAGAGCGAAGACTGGGCATTTCCTCCCTCCCTGAGCTTCAGTCGGGAATCCCCGCTCTAAGCCCAGAACGTGAGGGAGAGTGAAGGAGACCCCGGGACCCTGCCAGACCACAGAGAGCCAAGGGCCAGGGAGGGGCGTGGTAGCTGGTGTGAAAGGAAGAAGCCCAAACTTCCTCACTGGTGCTTATAACTTGGCCACGTGGTGTCCAAGTCAGCCTCATCTTCTGTTACAAATGACTCTCATTGACTTCTTTGGCTGGCATGACTGAGGGTGGTTATTGGTGAGTAAAACTCTTCCCTTTTGCCTGTTGACACAATTCCTAAGTAGGTCTCCTTCCCTCTGCAGGAAGAGAACCGGCCAGTGGGTGGGTTTTCTCTTCGTGGCTCACTGGTGTCTGCTCTGGAGGATAATGGTGTTCCTACTGGTAAGATGCAACTCGGCCCAGCCTGAAGCTCCCAGGGGCCTCCTTCTTGCACGCTCTGTAATGCCCTGCCCACGAAGGACAGGTATGCGAGCGGAGTGGGGCTTTCTCAGTGAGAAGATGAGTGTTTTGAAGCCAGTTTCAGAATTAGAGAAAAGGGCGTGTGTTCTTAGTGTTTTAACAAAACAACTATATAATCCTTGTCTTTAACATTCTCTCCCCTCAATTTCTGTGTTTACTGGTCCATAAGCTTCTACCTAAGAATAATATTAGCTTACACAGTGTTTAAGGGTTAGCGACACACTTTAATATCTATTATCACACTAATTTCACAATAGCCAGCTAGAGTAGGAAGATAGTATCATTTCCATTTTATGGGTGTGGAAATTGAGGTTCAAAGAAAAACAAGTTAAAGTCAAATCCCAAATCTATGCCTGCTCTTTATATAAACATACTAGGTTCTCTGACGTGAACGAATTTGCAGATCTGTGGTTAGCATAGCGGGCAGGCCAAGGGTTTCCAAGGATGTCCAGACATACCACTGGCAGGCCTTAAGGCACAGGCAAGAGGGAATGGAAGGGAGGAAAAGAAAGCACACATCTGGTGGGATTCTCTAACCGTATACATTTGTGTTGAATAAATACTTTTTGTGTTTTTGTCTTAGATTTTCAGCTGTTTCCAGCTGAAAGCAGACTTGGATATTCACTCACTGATTTTCTTTATGCCTAGGCGTCAAAGGGAATGTCCAGGGAAATCTCTTCAAAGTGATTACTAAAGATGACACACACTATTACATCCAGGCCAGCAGCAAGGCTGAGCGAGCTGAGTGGATCGAAGCTATCAAAAAACTAACGTGACAAGGACCTGGGGGAACAGGACCAAGATCCCTTCTACCTACTAGATGACACAGTCAGGATTTACTGGAAAATGAGTGTGTTCAAGTAACTGTTTATTTTGTACTGTTTTGGAGTGAGTCTGGTGAAAAGTCTCCTAGAGTGCAATTGGCAGTGGTGCTATTTCCTTCCCCACCTTCATGTTAACCTGGAAATGCTAGAACAGCCATTAGGTATCAGCATCCTGACTTTCGTCGATCATCACAACCAGCCATTCCCTGGGCACCAAAGTATTTTCCTTATAACACTAACTGGCCATGTTATAATACTAAATAAAATGCTAGTCTTATGGTGGCTCTCTCTGAAATGCTGTCAAGAACTCTTAGCTCCTTCTTTGCAATCAATAAGAATTGGCATTTGTTCCTGGCTAGCAGAGTTCCCTTACAAAGTTTCACAGTTTTCAAAGGTTTTCCATGCTTGAGGCTATACGAATTAAGCAAGGCAATTATGAAGACATTTCAAGTGATCTGTGACTAAGACAGCTTCATCTTAAAGTGGGATGGTGGCAAAATTTTGCTTGAACATTCAAAGAATATTGTTTTCCTTTGACAAATAAGCTTGCATAAATATTATATATCATAGAAAAACCATGGACTCAGTGGAAGAGATTAGTCACACATGCCAAAGAAAGGTAAAATTACAGCTTTACTATGGAAAATCGCATTTAGAAAGATGCAGAGCAAGAGCTCTCTACAGGACAAAGAAAGATAAACAGGAAAAGTTAAATCAAGGCATGTCATTTGGGTTTTAAAGTGAACATTGAGACAAGTATGTACTAAGAAGCTTCACCAGTTGGGAGGTTAATCTGAAGTAGTGAAAAGTCTGTATCATACAATATTTAAAAATAACATTTTTATTGCTTTCAAATTCATACAGTAATCTGGCACAAGTTACTGCCAGCATTCTTGCTTAGTACAAGTGCTCAGACTGCCTTTAGTGGATAAGATATGTAACTTACATTTAAGGGGACTAGATACTTCCAAAGTAAAAATTGTCCTCTTAAATAGTTGGAACAGTTTTCTCTTAATCTCATCTAGAATACCTGACCTGAATGATCAGGAATTCCAAGTGATTAAGATTTTACTCCATTCCTTACATTGTAGAGAGGACTGCCTTTTAAAGCACCATTTTCCATTTGTCATTTTACCAAGGTCTCATGTACCTGGAGTTAGTTTCTTTATTGCTTTTTGAGTATCAACAGGTTATCTGAATTCAGCTGCATTTAATTTAATGGCTTCTTCACTCTAAATTGGCACAACCACATCCCACTGTATATAGGACACAGAACCCTCATGCACTGAAAGTAGGTGACCATCACCTTGAGGCAAATCAGGGAACTTTTGTCAGGGTACTAGCATTTGAATTTTTAAAAATCCGCAAGTATTTTAATTCAATTGTTTTTTATGTAAAAGTAGCCAAATCAAGAATGTATGCAAGTATGGCAGTTGAGTCATGACTGCACTGCTAAGCATGTCTCTGTAGGGCTCCACTGTTGAAGCATTATCCAAAGTGTTGCTGTCTTGTTTTGCTATAAAACATCAAAAATAGTTTGAATGTTCATATTTTGTCAGCCACTTTCCATTAATTATGCATAAGACCCAAGCTATTGCTAATTTTCAGTTTTGAGTTGATAACCACTCAAAGGCAGAATGGGAAGTAGATGAACTTGTCAAATTTTAATGAAGAGGTTTTTGGGGGAGATCCAAGATTTGGATAAACTTATCACTTGTCTTTGTCAATCTGTCCCTCAAGCTTTTTGGAGCTGGGTGTGTATCTTGTCCTTGCATTTGAAAGATATACTTTTAGGTCAGCAAGGTATACATATGCTTTACGTTTAGTTAGTTCTCTCTTATCACTGAGGTATTGATCTTCTCTCTGGCAAGGGCCATGAATTTGCAACTGTTGTAGAACTGAGCACAAGGGATAAAGTCACTCACCATGAAGGCTAACCAGTATTTCTCAACAGTTATGGCTTTGAAGTATAAAAATACTCAGTAAACAAAAATTCCATTCCATTCCCGTCTATAGCAAACATTTAAGAAGCACCTGTTATATTTTGATGATATCTCGATGCTGTGAGCTTTATAGACTTATTTTTTGGCTCCTCAAAAAGACCAAGGTGAAAATCATGTGCTAATTTTGAATATATCCGATCTCCTCTAAACATTACTAGCATGGCATGCTAGCTAGCGATCATGGCTCCCTTGTGGAAATGGCTCCATGAAGTCAGGCTTCTGGATTTAAAAAGCTCGTCAAGGCTGCTAAATTAAAGGACAACCTTCATATATGGCACAGACTGTCTCACCAACACACCTCCATTTCCCAGTCCCTTTAATACTGAGTCTAGTCCTGGATTGATGAAGGTGGGCATGGTTTAATCTTCTAAGTACTTAAATAATTATTCTTAGGAATAATTAATAAAATAAATATATCATATACCTCAAGCATAGTAAGAGATTAAATCTACAAAGACCAAAGTAACTCAAGACTTTCTACACCCTGATTATTGTTGCAGGAACTTCAAACCATGTGTTTTCTATGAATTTATTTACCTTAATATTTATTATTTATCTTTAAATTTATATACCTTTAAAATAATTAATTCTCAAAGATAAAAATGATAGAAATATAGAAAAATCATTGTAATTGTGTTCCAACAGATCCCTGTTCTGTTACAAAGAAAACTGTAGCTCTCTAAGTGGAACCTAGTGAGTATTTTAATGCAAAAAAAAAAAAAATCAAAAGGTGATGATACTCAAAATAACTAAATTAAAGAAGCAGTATCTTAAAAAAACAAAACGAAACTCTACCACTCTAAATTACAAACTCAGGCAAACTCCACCAACTAGGGCCAGTGTGATACATTTTCCCTCCTACATTTCATCAGTCTCAAACAGGTAAAAGGCACACAACCAATGTAATTCTTTAATTGCATTTTAAGGCTTTCCCCCCTAAGAGTCAACTTTCACTGTGGTTAAAATTATTTTCTCTAAGCCCTCCTTTTGAAAGGATCTGTTGTATAGATCCTTTGAACACCTGCCCTTATATTTCTACACCTAAACTAAAATGAATAGAATTAGGGTCTTAGTAATCATAATGCTTTTAAACTGGTGACAAGAAGGAAGAAGCCTATAGTTAAATATCCCAGAAATTTATTTAATGTTTGTTTGATACATTTATATAGAAAGGTGGGGACTATTTGCTTTGGGTGCCCCTGGTAAATTACATGGAGGCACTGAACTACAAAGAGGTGTCAATCTGGGGATATCAGAAATAGAAAGCCCAATTTTATGACTGTTCTTAGCTTAAAGATTTGTCTCTAGTGAAATTAGGCCGCTCCCTTATAAAATGCTCGATGTGTTGGAGCTACTGTGTGAAAACAGCCGACATTTTAGGAGGGCATTTCACGTTTTGGTCTTTTAGAACATTTAAATACTTGGAAATAAAAAATATTCAGCTTTGAAGTTTTCAATACTGGAAAACTTTTAAGTCTAGGGTTTATAGCCAGGAAAGGCTCTTTTGTGTTCCTTAAACTGGACTGTTTCCCACAAAGTTAATCTTCAGCTTTGGCTTCCATTTCTTCTGCATCATCATCTCCATCCACTTCTGCATTTTCTCTCTCAAGCCTTTCCAGCTGCCTTGCGAGTTCAGTTTCATCTGTATCTGTGACGACTTTGGGCTGTGGAAGTAGAGGCATAGTTTTACAGTGAAGTAGTTAAATAATGCACAAAATTCAATTTCAATACTATAACTGCCTAGTGTATTAACTCTTAGAGAAATACTTTTCTTAACTCTGCCATCTCTTTTCAATTTGAGTGCTGACATCACTAATTCCATTAGCTCAATAATTTAAGAAATTTGAGAATAAGACAATACAGAAAAAATAAAGGTGTGTGTATGAAAATCAACTATTTTCTGTTATTTTTACAAGCTGAAACTGAAAATATATGAAAATTAATTTCAGTGGTTATATCTTTCAAACCCAAAAGACATCCTATAAAAATGCACTTTCTAGGTTCGAAATAAATTATTTACTATTCCTTTTCAGAGAAGGAGCAACTTTATATATATATATATTTCTATATATACATATGAAAACTAGAGTCTATTCTTGTTGAGAGTAGGCAACTAACTACACTGGTTTCGTTGATTGTTAAAAAAATTAATCTCATCCTTTTTTTAAAAAAGTATGTTTTCATTGATTTTTTAGAGAAAGAGATATAAACATCTATCTGCTGGCTCCTGCACACCCCCTATTGGGGATCGAGCCCACAACCCAGGCATGTACCCTGACATGGAACCAGAACCTCTCAGTCCATGGGATGACATTCAATCCACTAAGCCACACTGACCGGGCAGCAACTACACCGGTTTCTAATTCTGAGGTGAAATTTTAAGTATTTCACATTAAATGCTGACAACATCATCTACTTTTTTTCCTTGGCAGGGCGGGGAGTAACCATAGTTCTTAATAAACATCCCGTGTTAGTTCTTACTTATAAAAAACCCTTTTAGGAACCCTCTGAGTCAATAATTATTTTATGCTTAGCAGAGTTGTAATCCTAAATGTATCCCATTTTCTTTTATCCTCACCCGAGGACATTTTTTTTTTTCATTTTTTGTTCAGATAGAGTGGGAGGGAGAGGAAGAGAGAGAGAAACATCGATGTGAAAGGGACACATCGAGTGGCTGCCACCCGCATGACCCAACCAAGGTCGGGGACAAACTGCAACCGAGATACATGCCCTTAGTGGAAACTGAACCCGGGTCTCTCTGGACTGCAGGCCGACACTCTAACCGCTGAGCCAAACCGGCCAGAGCTGTATCCCATTTTTAAAGATTTTAGAATATAAATCATTTAGAGTTTTTAAATTTCTTAAAAACTTTTAAGAACAAGGCAAAACATCTCTTGGTCTCACCTCCATTTGAACATTGAAGACACCCCTCTTTTCCTCAATCTTTTCTTTTATAACAGCCATAGCCTGATTGAGGACAGAGAGGCCTTCTGTCCTCTCCAGGGTCGTTGTAGTCATCACATACCGAGGAGGAGCTATGAGATTAATCTAAAGAAGATAAAAATTCAGTTGTGAGTATATTTATAGAACACACAACTACTATGATGTTCGAGAATTGATTTGCTTACCTGCTGCCTTAACAAATTATCACAAAACTTAACTCCCAATTTTATAGTCAACAATTTGGGGTATTTTGTTAATGTAGCAAAATCTAACTGATACAGTGTTCTAATAAAATCCACTACAATACTGAATATGAAGAATGACGACCTCTGG